ATGAGCGGTATTGTATTTTCGTGACTTTAGAACATATGTTCACGTGAGGAGTAGTTAGATCCTCAAAAACTAAGGATTTTCAAAACAAAAGTAGTAGTCGAAGACCCACTTCTTTTTAATGCTGCTTTGATGATTAACTTGAATAGGTGGTACTTCTTGAACAACGGGAGCAGATTCTTCTACATCGTCGAGCAGCGATTTGGCATAGAGAATCGACTGGCACTCGTTCTCAGCTGTGACACTTAGTTCCGATAGCCACTGCTTTTGGCAATCATCCAACTTTTGTGCACTGCCAGTATGCTACAATATGTAATGAATAATTGCTGAAAAGAGGGAAAATGAACAAGTCATGAAACCCACCGACTGGCAAGGTTCAAAATACTCATCACTTTCCAGCGAATCCCAGTATCTCGCTATTCCTGTCGGCATAGCTTTATTATGGATAATTCTGCATATCCTAAAACATAACACATATATCCTCAAGCGCTCCTATTATGCTATAAAGAAAAAGGCGATAGACGTAAACAGCGAATGATGTAAACAGCTATAAATTGACCATGTCTGCAGCTGTGACTCAACGAAAGTCAATTCCGAATTGAACTGCAAAGGTGACTGATAATAACAAACCCAATAAGGCTTCAATTTATAACTATAGAGTGATTACATTACTAACATTCAAATCTTTGAAGCCTTAGCATGCTAAGAAAACGAATCTGCTCAATTGCCTATAGGGCAAAGTAATTACCTAACATATTACAGGAAACTCGTGTCTATGGTGGGTTGTCCAAGCAGTGAAGCACTTCCCCAGGAATGAAATAAGAAAGGTTGCTCCATTGAAACAACGTACATAAGTGCTTCAATTCCACTAAAGACTGGCAAATTTTGCAGGCTTCATTGTTAGACCTGGATAATATCGTCTAGATATGCTTTTATCATTTTTTTAGAAGAACAAACGCGGTCACTTTGAGCTATCGTGTAACACGAGCATCTTAGTTAGACAAACTTTAAAAACTTCGAACTGTAATGGGTCCTTGACAACCCTACTGGTTTAAACTCCTGACGTTTTATTCAAAAATAGTATTTTTAACGACCAGCAACTAATTATTGTTTGCGCTTGAAGTTTGGAGTAGTTAAGTACCACTCTTAAAACATCTGTGACATATTTCATGGTAAAAAAAATGTAGTCGTTAGGTTAAAATATGGAAAAAAACTCATTTTCTTCCAAGAGTATTAATTACTTCTCTCAAATCCCGTATTTCCGAATTAAGGAAACCTAAGAAATAAGCCAGCCAATCTTGTAACTTACTAGAACAGAGAAATTGGGACACGTTAGTTATGAAGTTGAGTAAGAAAGGATTATAACTTAGATAAATCAAAATCATATGGAATCGAGATTAAGAGAATGTTGAGTGTGCAAGCAATGGTTGCTCGTAATAGTAGCAAGTGACACAACAAGCTAATGAATGTGAATGAGTGGCACATATTTCGGTTTATGTGAGTGACATACCAGGCACATGCTCAATAGTAATTTTGTGTTGATTGCTTCTCACAACATTCTCTAGAAGTCACAAATGTTCAGTAAGGCATTTGAGAGGCATGGGCAGAAGAAGTTTAGAGGGTTGATGTGGGATGTGGCATAATGAGAGAACTGCAGCATTTCAACAAGTTGAACATCATAAATCCTTTGAGGAAGCAAAACTAAGTTCCTCCTTTTTTCGAAAGAATTTGAAAATAGGGTGCTTAGCAGGGAAAAAACTTGTTTCAAAGATAAGTTTGAGAATGTTAGAGCTTTCCGTTTGCTCATTGGTTACAGACTATAGTTTAAAGAATATTCACAATCGTAGTGTTCTTTGATTTACTTAGCTCGAGAACTGTCTAGGTTAAAGTTCCTAGAAACCACCGATTTTGAGTTTGAATAATCCTTGGATGAGCAATTCCGACAGCGCCTACGAAAGTCACAGAAATGAGATGTTAAATTTGCTGTAAGTTCATGGTAAATGCAAAATTACTGCGTTAAACCATATAGAGATAGCTTATATGTTCTAAAAACAGTAGGAGTAATTTTATGCTGTAACTTGTGGGTAGATTTGTACAAGATGACCTCAACACTAGGAACTGCAGACATCGTTAAATTGAAGTTTGATCACTTCTGATTTATTAAGTGAACAACACAAAAATAGCTATTAATTTTCTGAT